TTCTTTGAGAACTAACTATTGTTAAATTTATTTTTTAGGACTTTAATTGTCATGCTGAAATTAATATTGATTATGGTCAATGGTACTTTTATATCTAATTTAGTTATACACATATCACATAATTATATCAAAAGAATTATAACAAGGTGAGACTGATGAAGAAAACTTGCTTGTGATTCTCGTGTTTGAAAACTCATCAACATTTGGCATGTGAAATCTTACCAGTTTCTTCATAGCCTCCAAATCTTTGAAATTATGAAAAACTTTGGCCAAACAAAAAAAAAAGAAAAGAAATTATGAAAAGCTACTGTTCTATATAAAAATATATGTATATTGTCAAAATTATCCCTAGTTATGCTATGAAAACTGAAAGGCCTCCAGTCCAGAGCTTCAAAAAGAAAAAAAAAAGAAGAAAGAAGAATTTTCATCACTATAATTAATTTATTAATTTCATTAAATTATTTGTCAATTTTCTATACTAAACTTTAGTAACCCTAATCTGGTATAGGAAATTAACAATTTTAGAATTTAGCATTGGAAATTAATTATTATGTTCTGAAATTGACAATTGACAATTATAACGCCCGCACATGCCTTTGAGCCTTTCTTTCATCTGCATACCAATCACAGTTTTTCAGTATCCAATCTCATTCTAATTTTTCTTTTATTTTCATTTTTATTTTATTAAAAGTATTTTCTCCAACTGACTAGAAATTCTAAAACCCAGCACTTACGTTTGTCTGGAAAATTAAACCCTTGTACGTGCGTTTCCCAACCACCACAGTTTCATTAACATCCAAGTTATGATCCTTCCTTTATTTTGTTTATGGTCAATCAGGAAAAGTAAAATACCATTACCTCCGTATCTAATCATAAGACCTTGTTTGTAAATTATAAATGATGTCTTATAATTATAATCAGAGGTAGTATTATCAATAATCAATTAAAAAAACATAAAAGTTTTGGATTTTGGAGCCATATAATAGTTCATGACCTAAAGAGTGTTTAGATATCATCAAAAGTGCTTTGTAAAAGTATTTTTTCGTAAATCGAAATAAATTCTTTTATATATTTACTTTGTATACTGTAAAATTACTTTTAAAACTATTGTTTAATTTTTATCCAAACATCCCCTAGTATAAGTAGAATAGTCCTCTTGAGGGGAAAATTCCAATAATCAAGTTACCAAAATAACCCAATGATTTTGTCATTTTTATTTTTATCTAGACATACAAACTTTGAGAAATGAGCTGGTACAAATAAAAGTCTAGGGACTCCAATGTCTTCTTTGTCGGTTTGTGCGGGTCACCCCTGCGCAAGGGTTGTCATTTTTTGTTTTTTTGTTGGATCGCTGCAATTTCATCGGATGTGTTGAAGGGTACTGAAACATCTTTAAACCGCATAGGCGCCTACTAAATTGTCGCCTAAAAAAATATTAAAATTCACAAAGTGAAACACATGAGTATAATATGTACTTTATAATTTTTAACTTAGAGTTAACAGATCAATATTGATTACTTTTCTTTGCATATACACATGTATTGTAAAATAAATATTAGGACTACTTTTTAGAAAATTTCGTAGGAGAATTATAATGAGAGCACAAGATAAGAAAACAATTACCAGTAGGTCTCAATAACAAGTGAACAATTATTATTTATTATTTTAAAACTTATTACTACATACTTGTTACTAAAACTTTTTAATGATTATATTCTTTATTTAGGATTTTATAGTAATTCTCCTAAATTTTTCCCTCACATAGTTGTGTCTGACTTCATATTTATACTCTCGTCTTTATATAACATGAGTCATATTCTTGTCAAGTGTCAGTTGTACAAAATTTAATATCCCTACGTCTCTAAATAGAAGTAATTATCCCAAAAATTTTTTTTTTCCATTTTAAACTTGAGATTTACGTCTTAGTGGCTACGGTCATTTCCATTAAAATTGATGCGTGCTGGTTCAAGATTTTACTATTATACTTAGATCTATATATAATATAAAATTTGCAAGCTATAAAAAATATGATATAACTCATTTTCGGCTCTATATGTAAAGCAATGATTTTATAATATAGTTTTACTATATTTCTCAAAAAGAAGAAAAATCTTATGATTTTATGGTAAGATGTAAAATAACGTCAAATTTTATGAATTTTAATATTGCCTACCAAGTCAAGTTGAATTTTTTTTTTTTGGAAAATTTTTATTTTAGGACTAGTGTGGGTAATTAATATTAGTCAACTCTCAAAATATTTCAAAATTTTAGTCAACCCGCAAGGACAAATTACAATAATATCTCTCTCTCTTTTTTTTTTTTAAAAGAACAAATATTAATTGTCGCTGAAGTTCTGGCTATCGGAGGTCGGAGGTTCGGCTGCCGATCCTCATGTGACCGCCATCAGAAGGTAGAACTCCGACTGTTGGAGGATACTTTTTTTAAAATAAGTTGACTAGGGGGTTTGAACCTATAACCCGTTGGCACACCAAAAGTAATGTGATCACAAGTCAACCAAGCCATTTAGTCATATAGTGCATAGAGAAAATATATATAACAAAACAAATGTAAGTGTACTAGTGTAAATGACAAATGAAACTCAACAATTTATAACAAAAATTCGACAATTTACAGGTAACACAATGAAATTCACAACCACAAATGTAAATATTTAGGTGTGAATGAATAAATTAAATTCGAAGATTTACTACAAAAATTTATAAATTTACAACCAAAATTTGATGATTACCTAATTCTTTTTTTCCTTGAAAATGTAATTATTACCTAATTTGACACATAACCATAAAGTGGTACATGTTGTTAGATGCTTTGTGTTAGTTCTAACCAACATCAACAAAACAACTAAGAAACCAGCGGACGCCAGGGAATGAAGTAGCCCGTGGTGTCACGTGCTCACACTCACTTACCATGTGACATTAATCTTTCAAAGGTGGCTGTCTTTTTTGTACTATTCATCAATTTCATTAATTTAATTTTAATTTTGGAGAAAACCTACTACTTTAGGGATTCTTACAGTCTCCATCACATGATCACATCAAACCAACATTTTTTTTGTTTTTTGTTTTTTAAATTTCCATGGCTTTATGGGACATTGCATCAATTATATTTTACGACCACAAAAATTTTTTTTTAAAACTATTTTCATATAAGTTGAGATAAAACTCATCTTAGATACTTATCACTTTTAAAATTATGATTTAGTTTCACACAAAACACCTTCCAAATGAAATATGACTCTTGACTGAAGTTCCATTAGCAAACTGAAACAAATAATTTAAGATTCCAAGGATACTTTCATTATTTCACAGAAATTTGTAATTGGCAAGGCTTTTATGCAATCTTAATGCTTTTCTACAAAGGCTAGTTAAGCCATAGGAGGAATGTTAAAAATTAAAGACACACTTATTGCTCACTCAAAAAAAAAAACACACACACTTATTGCTTACTAAAAAAAAAGAGGCTTTTTATGCAATCTTGATGCTTTTCTACAATTTTCCTTGTTTATAATGAAATCCAAACTTTTATATGGGTGAATAAGCAATCTTCTAAACCTTGCCTTTTTTTTTTTGGCCATCTAGTCTGCTATTGATGTTGTATTGAGTTATTCTGGTTGACTAGACTTTTTTTTTTTTTATCCCTCAATCACATCAATGTCAGTACATAAAAAACAATTTGCTTAATGGTATCTTTGTCCATTGTGATTTCACTGACACGTTACTTATATATTTATTTGGGAAAATCACTAAAGTTTTTTTTAAAAAAATAATTACTAAAAAGTCTTAATAATTAATAATGATAGTGTGGCTTATTATAATTTTTCACAATAAAACTTATCATTCACTTGTTATGAGAATTTTTAGTAATTATATTTATTTTATGTCTTTATTTCTTAATTAATTTTTTATTTTATTTTATTCAAAAAAGGGTCGATAACGACTGAGGAGTAATAGCATGGCAGCGGGGAGGGAAGCGGGAAGCGATTCCGCGTAAGGAAAGAGTGAGAAACTGAGTAAAGGCCGCGAAAAGCGCGAAGATCAGGTGCGGCCGACGATGTTTCTTGTCCTTCAATGCCCCACATTGGGCCCACCTAATCCCCTCAGGAAAGTGGGCCCCCACAAGCCCTTATTGGTCCTCGTCACGTGCCTGCGCTAACTCTTATTGCTTTGCACGCGCCATCCCTGTGGGACCCATCCCCTTCGATTGATCAGATTCTTTTCTTATCAATCGATGAAAGGAACAGCATCATCAGTACGGTGGACCCAACAACACGCTATCATCTTTCCTAAATTTTATATTTTTAACTTTAAAACATCAGAAAAAGATGCATTTCTGCTTTATTTGTTCCTAAAATTTAGGTGAAGATCAAATTACCAAATCGCCACGCGCATTACGATTTTATAAAATACTTTATATTATTTAAAAATTATCTCGAATTAAACTTAATGCTGTTTTCATGCCGGATGCCGCCCACTTTGCTCTTTTTCCTTTGTCTGCTTCTATTTCATAAAATAAACATGTTTTAATGAATTAAATTTAAATATGATCACACAAAAATGTCAACATTAATATTAATGTAAATAAAAATTTGATGATAAATTATCAATAAATTCTCCGTCCCCATTTCATTTCATTTCATTTCATTTTTATTTTTTTGGATAATAACTTTTTTAAAAAAATTATTATTGAGAAGAACCTTATTAACTTTTTTTTATACCGTACACTGCAAATTTACCTACACTTTTGTTTAGTTCATTTTCTAATAAAATATCACCTTAAATATTATACATACATATATAAATATATAAATATATATTTATGAAATTGAAAAGGAAGAAAAATAAAAGAAAAAGGAAAAGGGGGAAAAAAGGCGAGAAGGGGCGCAGGAAGGCACCACCGATCTGCAAGGCTTCCACGTATGCTTTAATTTTCAGAGGTGACTCACCGACCATGGAAGAAGATTCATTAGTCCACCGTCACTGAAATTACACCCGCCTTTTCTCCTCCCTTCCCTCCCATCTACCTTCATCATCACTGCCCCCACCATGTGACTTTCTCTCTATTTCTGTGGTATTCCTCTCTCCTCAGGTCGGTAGAACCCTAGTAAGCTAAGCACAATGCTTAACTGATTCTAACAGTAGCCACACATGCTCTGTGTTATTAGTGTTTGGTTCTTGTGCTGAGATTTGGGGTTCTACTGATAATCCTTAAATGGCGGGTTGGCCTATTACCCATGTGTGCTGAGTGTTCTTCTTGCCGGGAATTCGTAATGAAGGCGGCTTCCACTAATGGGTGTTCGTTTTTCTTGCTCTTCTTCGCCATATTGGTTACCTCAATATCAGCTTCGTCTCCAAGTGGCTCGTCCGGCCATTCCATCAAGTTTATTCTAGGTTCGTCTTGGAATTATCTGCATCTTTGATTCGTTCATGACATTCTTCTCGTCCACCGTGATTTTGCTTCTTATTGCTTTCGGTGATGGGTTGGATTTAGATCTTGTTTGGCTGCCCGAGAGCTTATCATTTCTTCTGGAAAGTTCAAATGCTTCTGAATTTTAAGCTTCATTTTAGCTGAGTTTTCAAGAAATTGGATCTTGTAAGACAAAATTAAGCTCATATTGAACGTCTTTGTCCCTGGATTTTGTTGTGTCCCGGAAATGGAAACTCTTTAAGTTTTCCAGTTTGGTAGATCTTCTTAGCAGCCAATCAATAGCGATGCTTCTTTCTTTCTGTGAAGAAGACTAATACTCTTTTGTGACGTAACTTGCATGATTGTTGACTGAGTGATTTCTCGAACAAGCTTTTGTAATTAATTAATTATGCTCCTCTGTTATTCTCAGGAGGAGATAATTTGGGTCCATGGAAGAACGAAATCGAACAAGCGGCTCTCGCACCAGGGCCTGAAACTGATTCGCATCAGGGCACTCTTGTATTGGCGGCAAACCGGACCAGAAGACCCGATATTCTAAGGCATTTTCGACAGTACAGAGGTGGTTGGGACATCACAAATCAGCATTATTGGGCCGTAAGTACCCTGATTAATCAGTATTCATTTCCTTCTCAAATGGACGATTTGTTGTGTTGTTGACACTAATTCGATGGTGACATGTGAGATTCGGATGACAGGAGCTGTAAGAGGCCTGAATCTCCCTTGTCATCTGAGAATATTGTTGTAGTGTCGTAGAATATGTTCCATCTGTTCGTCTGTTGTGTCTTGCATCGAATGGTTTTGATTCTTCTCTCTCTGTTTTTTCTTGGCGTAATTTCGAGTCTTTCTATGACAATGGTGTCCAAGATCATGGTATCTTGCATAATAAGGAGCCTGAGATGATAATATTTTAAACAAGCTTCCTAATTCTGTTAATATTTTGATTGTCCTTATCAGCTTCCCAGTTCTGTTATGCTTTTTAATTAATTGGGTTTCGTCCATTCTACGTACAGTCGGTTGGATTCACCGGTGCTGCTGGTTTCATTCTTGCCGTACTATGGTTTATTTCTTTTGGTTTGGCGCTTATAATTCATCTATGCTGTGGATGGGGGATCAACATCAATGACGAAGGATCAAATCATTCACAAAGAATATGTCTTATATTGCTCATACTATTTACCTGTGCTGCAGCGTAATGCTCTAAACTCATTGTAATTTCGCTTCTTTTTTCTTTTCCTTTTATTTGGTGACAAATCTTGTTTCTTTACAGGCTTTATAAAGGTTGGTTGTTTAATTGTTTTTCCTTGTATTAGCTAGTGTACTTGCATCTTCTCTCATGGTTTTTTTACTGGGGACATTCTTCGGTTTTTGTAATGTGTGTCATAAACATCGTACGGATTTCTATATTTCATTACAAATCTTGTGCAAAGATTTAAATTCAGTAATCAACTTTATGCTGGGGATTTGGAAAGATATGGAATGGAAAAGGAAATTAGTGAGAACATTAGTGGAACCCAGTGATATTAATAGCTAGTTTATGGAGTCGCTTCCAGTGATCCTGTTGTAATCAAATGGCAAAAATGTATATTGCTGAATTATTTCCCAATACCCCTTCACTTGAATTTGCAAGAGAGTATTAGTGAGTACTGCCTATGTCGCTGCTTGCTACTTTTTACTTTAAAATCATGCCATGGTTGGCACGGAAGAAGTTTGTGATAGAAAGGAAATCGGAGATGCACCTATTTTATTTCTTTTCTAAGGGCATCTCCTATTTCCTTTCTAGAATAAAGCTTTCCTCATACCAAACATTACCTTAATGCATTAAACCTTTCTTGGTTTCTCTTTCTAAGTGCTAACATGTCCTGATCTTTTGATTACACAGGACTGGATGTATCTTACTTTCTGTAGGGCAGGATAAGTTTCATGGCGAGGCATTACATACTCTCCACTATGTTGTAAATCAGTCAGACTTCACTGTGCAAACTTTGAGGAATGTCACAGGATATCTTTCTCTTGCAAAGACTATCAATGTTACCCAGATCCTTCTTCCATCTGATGTCATGGACGATATTGACAGTATAAATGCAGACTTAAATACTGCAGCAGATACACTATCTGAAAAGACAAATGAAAATTCTGTTAGAATAAGAAGAGTATTCAGTGCTGTGTATGTAATATTTAGTTTTGTCACTATTCATTCTATAGGAGTTGTTCTCAGAATCTGGAATGCTAAACTTGGTGTTCTTTCTCTCTCTTTTTTTTTTTTTCAGGCGCTCGGCTTTGATTGTTGTGGCTGCAGTTATGCTTCTCTTGGCTCTGATTGGATTATGTATGTATTCTTGTTAATTTTATAAAGAAATTAAGCTATTTTGTTCGGGACAAGGGACTTGGTCGCTAGTATTTTGCTAATAATGTCTCGTGTTAAAATTTGACAACCATACGGTTTCTTAATTATACCATTCATTTGTCATATTTTAATTAGAGGACCTAATAGCAAAGATATAGGAAACTGCACCCTTTTTTAATTCTTTTTAATATTTTTATACTTGAAATATTGCTTTATATATAACTGATTTTAATATTTTTCCCCAGGTTTGTCTATCCTTGGACATCAACATGCCATCCTCATGTAAGTTATCTTTGCATACGATCTATTTGAATTCTAAATTGGCTTTGCTTTTTATCCCATTATCTACTTTAAGCACACAATTCATGTTCTTATGTTTGATTCCATTGCAGATTTGTTATCAGTGGATGGTTACTGGTTGCAATTACTTTCATTCTCTGTGGAGTTTTCATGATCCTTAATAAGTAAGCTATTGTGCCTTAAAGAGTTTTACATTTTGTTAAGGAGGAATGCAAATGTGATTAAACCATACGAAAAAGCTGACATGAACTGCTAACGTTGAACTGGGGTTGGGGTTAATTTTCTGTACATTCTGGAAATTCCATTCTTCTTAAAAAGAAAATAACAGCGACACATTGGCAAGACCTGATCGTTATAATTTTTTTCCCCATTGTAGTGCAATTTCTGATACCTGTATGGCTATGGGAGAATGGGTGGGGAATCCACATGCAGAATCTGCTCTTAGCAACATCCTTCCATGTGTTGATCAGAGAACCACCAACAGGACACTTTTTCGGAGTAAACAAGTGGTCACTGATATCGTAAATGTTGTTAATCAGTTCATATATACTAGTGCAAATGCGAATCCCAGACCAGGCAATTCGAATTATTACAATCAGTCTGGACCAAAAATGCCGCCCTTGTGCTACCCTTTTGATTCTCAGTTACGAGAGCGTGAGTGTACGACCCAAGAAGTTTCCTCAACAAATGCTTCACTGGTACGTTTTTCACCACTCAACTTGAATATTGAATGAGCATCAGTTCACTTGTTTAATAGGTGAGAATTGTTACATCTACTTTCTGTTGGAAGTCGAGACATGATTCCCAAACTTGCCTCCACTTTTAATATATTATCTTAATGAGGCATTGGAATGTTCAACTGAAGCCAACACAAGTGCATTTGAAATGTTGGCTGTATGCTTGGTTGTCTGGTGTACTGGAAGGCCAAAACAAGTTAAATAAAACAAATAATTATTCTTTTTTCCCTATTAAACGAATCTGATGAAAATTAACAGAGGGGGGAAAGGAAGAATGCTCCTCTTCAAATTTTAAATTGCTCCGGATATTATGATCTTGTTCTGCTATGTATTTCCGCCAATGACATGAAAGGAGAACTCATTTTCGCCTTTACGGAGTTTTCAGGTTTGGAAGAAATTTGAATGTGAAGTATCTGCACTTGGACACTGCATGACCACTGGCAGGGTGACTCCGGAGGTTTACTCGCAGTTGGTGGCTGCGGTTAATGAAAGCTATGCGTTAGAGCACTATGCTCCGCCTCTGCTCAGCCTTCAGAATTGTGATTTTGTGAGGAACACATTCCAAGAGATCACTTCAAGTTTCTGCCCTCCATTGAACCATTATCTGGAGATCATCAATGCAGGGCTGGGTCTCATTTCAGTTGGTGTCTTGCTGTGCCTGGTTCTCTGGACACTCTATGCGAACCGCCCCCAAAAGGAGGAAGTGTTTGTGAAGTTTTCCTTGCCAGAAAAGCTGAAGAATAGATTCAGCAAGAACCGCAATAACTCAAAACCAGCTTCATCTGTTGTATCAAGTGGGGTGTAGGTTGTGCTATAGGAAAATAGTTAGAAGTATATGAATAGTGTTTTACTTCCCCTCTGTCAAGGGTTATAATATAATGAAAGAAAGGTGGGGCGAAGCTCCAGCTTTGGAGTTGGAAGATTACAGGCAAACGCTAGTGTATTATACATAAAGGAAAAGCAATTTGGTTTGTTAATCTAGACGTGGTTCAGCTCTCTAAGATTGCTATGATTTCTACATGATCAATCATGAACTCTAGGAATATTAAGTCATATCCAATATTCGTTCTGCTAGTGCCCTAGAGAATTAGGCGACTGCCATCAAACTATACCATATTTTTCATAAGAATATCTTAAGAATTCTCAATTAAGTTAGTTCAAAAATCACACACACATATATAATAATTTAACAAAATTAGATATATTAATCTCTATCTAGCAGCAACCTTGTTTTTATACTTATCTAATAGATACCATTTTATATGCATTAATCTACTGGTTATTAATGTTATATCAAAATTGATATTACCATCCATAATAATATGATGATATTAATATATCAAAATTGTATTTGTCCCAAAAAAGTGCCTATTCAAATCCAATCTTTTCTCATTAAAGCAAAAAAATGACAATCCCCTTAGATTAGAAAAGGTTTCTTTTGCATGCCCACCTGTAAAACCATCAAAAACACGATCGAAAGACAATTTGCATGATCAGAAAAGTATGAACTGAGGTTCAGTTCTTCTGGGTCAATATCAAAAGCCAAATCGTTTTCTCTAACATATTCATATGACACAACATAAACCATTCCAGAGTCAGGGTGTAATTCAATAAATTAATAAATGACCCTATAAACAATAAATCAAAGTTTGGGAAACGTGACAGGTCCCCCATTTTTGTTCTGTGTCAGCTCTAACAAGCATTTCAGGAGCCATCTTCAACAATCAATCTTTGAGCATAACGTATGGAAAACCTCCATCACTTTTGTTGTGTCAATTCGATCTTTCGTTTCAGTGTGTCAGTTTTAAACAAAATATAAATGTGTAATTAGACACTGTAACTGTGAGTCTGTGAGAAGGTAAGAAGTTAGGAATGGACGACGAAATGAAACGTCTCAACTCAACAAAATATGTAATATGGAGTATAAATCAAGTAGTACGATTCTATTTCCCAAATATTTGTTCTTTCAGAGAGAAAAATTGGTCTTCTCAATTCATACACCACACAAGCAAGTTTGAGGCGTCATCTATTTTCATATCACATAAAAGATTGATGAAAACCCAGCCTAGAAGAATAAGCTCCTCACACATCTCAAGCGCTCATCAAAAGTATATTGAATGTGAAACCAGGAGTTCATTTCAACAGAGATATTCGCCAGTAATTGAAAATTCACACAAAGAAAATGTACTTGACAGCTGACAGTAGAATAAATTTCAGGCCTCAAAATTCGCCAGGGTCAAACAAAGTTTCCTCATCATCACGCTTAGCTTCCAAATTAGAGGAAGATTCAGCAGCTTCCTGGGTCTTCTCGTCCGTCGCCAGAACATCATTCACGCCATGAACGACAAGCTCGTTATTGTAGAACATATTTGGAAAGAAAACTTGGGCTCCGTTCAGCACCAATATTCCACTTGCCCTCGTGACGTTAATGGAAAACCCATCCAAATACGTGGGGATTTCAGACCCATCGCTTAAATCCACCAGATCGTTCCAGAGAAGCTTGCAGGGCACAACATGGCGAAGAAAGAACGATGGATAGTCGCTGAAATTCCCAAGATGACTTACCACCGCATTATCCGCCGGGGCAAATACGGTCATCGGAGTCTCATCAATAGATATTTGCATTCCGAGAAAAGAAGCCATCACAGAGTACCCTCCGGCATTCAAGGCTCTAACGGCTTCTTTCGAAGAATTGCTGGAACTCACAGTCTCGTTCGTTGCACCACACGCAGGATTTGGATGCGATCTTCGATGTGGCGGCACGTACTTGAAATTGGGATCGAAGAACCTCTCGATTCCGTAGATTATAACGAAGCCGTCATCGTAGATTGGGGAAATATTAACCCTGACATTGTTCAGTGATATTCTTCGATCAGAAGGCGGCGTGGTGACGACCAGAGAGTTCTTATCGAACATCGTTGGAATTTTGGCGCCGGAAGGGAGCAGTCGGATGCTCTGCGCCGGCAATGGCATTGGAGCGACGTGGAATCGGAGCAGATCGAGCGATGGCTGACCCGTTTTACCGAAGGCAGAGTCAGATGGAGCGAAGACAGTGAGGGAAGGAGATTGGAGGAGAAGGGTTTTAGCAACGACTTCGATAGTCAGAGCCATGGAAATGAAGCCTGAATCCAAGAGAATGTCGGCGGCATCGAGGATGGCTTCGTACGGAACGCCGGAGGAGAGGGAGAAGAAGGAGAGAGAGAAGAGAAGGAGGAGTTGAAGAAAGGAAGCCATTGATCAGTGCTGCTTGTGAGACTGTCAGACTGGAACTGAAAGGCAAGAGAGAGTCATGAAATGGTAGGTTTGGCGGGAAATCATGGGCAGACACGTGGTGCGGTAAGATTGGCTGATACAAAGATGTCGTTAGATGGATCGTTAGGCGTTACAGACGAAGGCGGGCCAGAATTTAAAAAATAAAATATCTGAGGGTAAAAGTTGAAAGGGAAAAGACACAAATAACCCTAAACCACAGTTAATACTCTTTATAAACACTAAAGAGAGAAATTTGTATAGCCTGGGACAAGCCCAGATTTCATGCATCGTTCTAGAAGCATTGAGAATTAGTGTCACACTATTATTTTATTGAAATTAAGGAAAAAAAACGCAGAAGATAGTATTTATTTATTTTAATTTGAGGGATGTTTGCAAATAGGGTATAGTTGAAGTAAGTTATTCATCGAATAAAAATGAATAAATTTTTTATTTTCTCATTTAAAAAATTCATTTAAATATTAAATAAAGTGAGAAAAAGAAGCAAATGAAGACGCTGAACCCATAAAAGTCCAATTTCATAGGCCCGATCCAATTGATAATTTTACGTTACAACTCAGTTGGATTTGGTTTTACAAGACAGGCTCGCTTCGGAAGTTTGAACACCTTTCAGATTGACAATTTTTTTTAAATACCAAAAAATTTGACAAAGGATTGGACTTACCGTATGATGCCTATCCAGTTACATACAACCATCAGGTATTAAAATAGTAACTGGTCAAAAGTTAGTAAGTCAGATTCGAGTTAAACCGGTGAGAATTAAAAAAAATTAAAAAATAATTTAAATTTTTATCATACCATCTAAAGACTAAATAATAATTTATTACCTTGAATTACAAATAAAATAATCATATACTTATAATTTATTTGACAAATTGACATCATAGCAGTATCATATTAAAAAAATCACTATTCATTAATCTAGTAATCCTAGCAAACTATCAAAAATTCAAAATAGATATATAATTGTAAAATATTCTTACTTACAATCTATTAGTCAATAAACTAATAATTACCAAGAGCTTAAGAAAGAAGAAAATTTTGGCTCAAAATAATTTCTTTTTAAAAAAAGAAAAGCAACTAGGTTAACCCACCAACCCAGAAGGGTTAATCAGGTTGATCTTAGGTTGGTCTGGTTTGCATCGTGTCACTCCTTGGATCAATTTGACTTCTATCTGTATAGTTAATTGGATTGATTACTTAGCTGGTTCACCGGTTTTTGGGCTGAACAGGGCGATCCGGTCTAGGTTTGCATACCATGTTTACAACCCAATCATCTGTTAGTTACACATTACCCTTTTGGGTAACCCGGTGTGCTTGGGTCAATAGTGAGGGTAGAATATTAATTATGTGAGAATTAGCTCTAAATTATGTGCTTCACTTCAGCGTGGGATGTCTCCTCTAACACTGCAGCATTGCAGCAATCTCAAGAATCAAACTCTCTTCCTTTAGTTAGTTTGTCCAACCTTTTAACCGCCAAACCCAAGGACAATGGACCAAAATTTTACATCAATCTATTATGTAATTTTTAAAATAAACAATGCTAACTTATGCATAAATTTGATTGAATTATACTAGCATTTTTCATTTTAAAGACATCATTTGAATTCTTCAATATTTATTTTAATACTCCTTTTTCCACCATAAAATTATCATCCAGATTGTTTTTTTTTTTTTAATCTTTTTAGTCTGTTAGTAAAGGACCAAAAAAAATTGTTGTTAAACGTTAATACGAAATTTTATTCTAACTTTGTCAATAATATGAAACTGATAATATAATTTGGAAGTATTAGGGAGGGGATTAGGGATGCTTTAAGGCTCTTTTATGTAAAGTGTTGCTTTATTATTGGGTTGTTTACATCATCCCTTTGAAATCTGAGTTTCATCTACAAATAATCTATCCTCCTTTTAAATATTAAATTTGTAAATTTTAGCGTATAATAGACATTGTTGGATTAGTTATAATATTTTATCATATATACATTATTATTGGGGTGTTTAATTAATTATTCCTAAATAGCAGCTTTCTTTGACTCTTTTAACTCTATAGTTGAATTGAATTCCTTGGAACTCCAATCTGAAGTAAGCATCACATCATGTTAGTTAGCCATCCTAGTCCACTTGAGCTAAAATGCTCGTGTGTTCACGTACGTAGTCATAATATGATCTCAAACTTTATTTATTTAATAGGACTATGCATAGGCTTGACTAACCAAATAATTTTTTTATTTTTTATTTTTGTATTTATAAATATTTTTTTAATTATTTTTAAGTATTGGGCCAGATTCGGCCCAACCTTTTCAAGCATCTTATCATCTTTGGTCTAGTGTATAGGTACATTTTGTAATTACAAGTGTTCATTGGTCAAAGTTAACTTTTGTCAGCTCCATGTGGTGTGACGGGGAGGGAAGGGAAGAAAAATTTTGATAAATTTGGTCTAAATAATTGAAGAATTGAGATTAAAAGCTTTTAATTAATTCTTATTATTCTTTTATCTTACTTTTTTTTTTGGGTTAAAATTTTAAAATCCCACTTCTCTAATTTTTTTTAAATCGAGCCTATTAAAATTTTTCTTCTCATTCTCTTCTTTCTATTTCTTTTATACCAAACATAGGGTTAAGCATCGCTAGTCCATTGATTAAAAAACCGAACGAAACCGGACAATTTATTTGGCTGGATCATCATCTAGATTTCTTAGCAGTTCAGTTTTGAATAAAAAAAATCATTTTTTTATGGTTGAGTTGAGTTGGATTGTAGTCAAAATACTGTTAAATCAGGAAAAAAAAATTTTAAGAAGATTGACCATCTAAAAAAACTCGACATATTTGCAAACTATTTATAACTATATAGTATTATCTCATTAAAAACTTCATATATTGTGATAATATTATGTTGACAATTAGATTTATTATGGATTTATTTGTTATATACTACCTCCGGTCCTAATTATAAAAGCCAGTTGACTAATTTAAGGAGATTAAAGAAGTAAGTTGAGTTAGTTATTGGTCCTAAATAGGTGTTGTCTTTCTTAAAATATACTTGCTAATCAAGTGTATTGACTAGAATTATCATTATTAGAAGGGCTACTTTGAAAAAAAATGTATAAATATGAGAGACAAAGTAGATTAGAGTCTTATATTTATGACCAAAATAAAATTCAAACAAGGTCTTATATTAAAGACCAGAGGTAGTATATAATTATGTTTATTGAATTTTTATTTAATTATTACATCACTCCTTCAATTGCTAAGCCAACTGATTGGATGATGAGAATTATAATGCAATGATCTTTTGATTTAATATTTGATCCGACTTTTAAAACATTACCTTAATCAATGCTACAATTTCTTACAACCTTTCTATATCAAAGATACACACATATATATTAATTAGATAATTACATTGGTATTCATACACCTCTTATTATCTACTTCCGCCAATCTAATTAAAGATTTAATACCAATTTACACACACACACACACACACACCTGTTTATGTGTATTTGACCAGAAACACCATTTTATAATAATATGACTAATTTCAGTTAAAGACAAACCTTATCAATTCCACTTTAAGCCCCATGAAAATAAAACAGAAGGGAGGAAAACAACTCAAACCTACCCAATTCTAACAAGGAGAAAGAATTGAGACTGAAATCCTTCCTTTACCAGAATGAACAACATAATCTCTCTCTCTCTCTCTCTCTCTCTCTCTATATGCGTATATACAATTATATACGGAAGACTCAATCATATCTGGTTTATAATTAATTATTAATTAATTAATTAACTCAAAACAAATCTCATAATGCAATATTATTAATAATTTTGTGATGCTTTCATGCATTCAACGCTTAAAGTTAGCTTGGTAGTTCAACCACGCACTATCATATAATTAAGCATTAAAAAAAAAAAAAATCTAAGGAGACGTATGTACCTCAGGATTTGCATGCTACCTCCCCCATCATTTTCAATTAAATGGAGCAGATCACTATATATAAATATATATATATATATAAGAAATTTATTAATTAAAGTCTGTGGAATTGACGTTGTGCATGATGATGAGAAAAGGTCCAACTAGTTTGATATATTATTGACTTTGTTCAACCTAACCTCGTGCCAATTTGGTGGTTCAAACACATACACAATATACCTTGTGTATTCTAATTAATTAAGGGTTTTATAATACTCTCTTGCTCCCAATTATAGAAGTTAGATAGCTAATTCATAAAGATTAATGTGAAATTAGTTAAATCATTTGAAAAAGTGGAAATTAATTAATCAATTTTTATAGTTTTATCTGATTTTTTATTAGTTCCATCTAGTATTTCTTCTTTTTTCCGGGATCATTATAGTTTATTTTTTCAATTATTATCATTGGTCTTTAAACTCATAATATGTTAATTAGAGTTAATGTTGAAAAAATAAAGTGATGAAATTTCTTTATTTATTATTAACATAGAAATAAAAAATAAAAAAATCATAATAATAACCGTTTCATTACATCTATCTATATATATATAATATATAATTTGATTGATTTTAATAATATTTAGACTCATGTGGAAAAATTAATTCAGGTATATGTTGAGGGAGAGTCACTTTATCTTTCTTTTACAAATGACAAATTATAAGTATAAGGACTAACACCTAAAATTAAAAAAAAAAATTGTAGGAAAACCCAATAAAAAACTATATGGACTAAATAATCAGATGAAATTATAAGAAGTTATGGATTAATTTTTCTTTCTAAAAAATGTGGGTCAATTTTCTTAAAATATGCCTTTTAATAATTTATATATATTTAAAATTAATTCCTTCATAGAAATTCCCTTTCAATATGCGAATAACAGGGATAATTAAAAAATAAAATTATAAATTTTGAAGATAAAATAAATTGAAATAATATATTTAAAATCAAAATAATATGATCACGGGATCATGAAAGTACTAGACATATCA